AAAACAAAAATACAAATAGAAAAAATAATATCAAGATGATTGACTTAAACCAAACTATATCAGTCCTTATTTAATTACTTAATCTCTTCCTTTACATTAAATATTATCACAAAGGGAAAAAACCAGGACTATCTACATTGCAAATTTACATATTTCAGTGTAAAAAACATAGTGTTTTGTGTACTATAATGGTCTAAGTGCATATTCAGGTGCCATAAACTGAATGTATCCCAGCAAAATTTATATTTTGAAATCCTAACCCCCCATATAATGGTATTAGAAGGTGGGCATTTGGGATAAAAGCAGGCCATGACAGAAGAGACCCTGGAGGGGTCCCTTGCCCCCTCTGCCAGGTGGGGAAAATGCCCACCTATGAAACAGGAAGTGGGCTCTCGCCCGACGCTGAGCCTCCCAGCACTTTGGTTTGGACGTCCCAGCTCCCAGAACTGTGAGAGTAAGTGACTGTTGTTTAAGACACACAGTTTATCTTATTGTTATGGCAGCCTGAATGGACTAAGAAAGCAAGGTTCTCCACAAAAATAGAACCAAAAGGACAAACATGCATCCTTTTGGCATATTTTGACATATATATTATAAGGATTGACTTACATGATGAAGCAAGTTGACAGGTTCTAAGATTTGCAGCAAGCGGGGAGCCTGGACGAGCCAATAATGTAGTTTCAGGTGAAAGAAGGCAGGCTCAAGACCTACAAAGAAAGAGTTAATATTTCAGTTCAGTTCTGAAGGCAGGAAGAAACAACGTCCCTGAAAGGCTGTTAGGCAGGAGACGCATCAGCATTTTTGTTCTACTCAGTCCTTCAAGTTATTGGATGACTCCCACCCACATTAGGGAGGGCAATTCACTTTGCTCATTCTGTTGATTTGAATGTTAATCTCATTGAGAAACATCCTCACACACACACCAAGAATAATGTTTAACAAAATGTCCGGGCACCTCATGGCAGTTGAGTTGACAAAAAAATTTAACCATCACACAAAGCATAAAACAAACTAGTGTAGCTAAATTAGCAGCTGGTAATACAGGTTTCAAGACAGTATTATTGGTACAGATACCTTGGAGATATTGTAGTTTTGGCTCCAGACCACTGAAATAAAGAAAATATTGCAATAAAGCAAGTCACACAAATTTTTTGGGTTCCGAGTGCAAACAAAATTATGATTATACCATACTGTAGTCTAAGTGTACAATACCATTATGTCTAAAAACAAAACAGTGTATGTACCTTAATTATAAACTATTGCTAAAAATGCTAACCATCATCTGAGCCTTCAGAGGTGTCATCTTTTTACAATAGTAACATCAAAGACCACTGAGCTCAGGTTACTATAACAAATATGATAATAATGAAAAAGTCTGAAATATTTTGAGAATTACCAAACAAGACACAAAGTGAGCAAGTGTTGGGAAAATGGCACGGATACACGTGCTTGACACGGGTGCCACAAACTTTGTGAAAAATACAGTATCTGCGAAATGCAATACAGTGAGATATGCCTGTAATAAAAAGGGATATTTCATGATGATAAAATGATCGCTTTATCAAGAAAATTTAACAATCCTAAATGAATATGTACCTAAAACAAGAACTTCAAAATATATCTAGAAAATACAAAGAGAATCAAAGAAAAATGTATGTATACCTATGATCATAATTGAGTATTTTAACACCCCTTCCTGAGTAATGGATTGGAGAAACAAGTAAGTAAGGATACATGATTTGAACTATACTACCAATAAATTTGACAAAGTTGATATTTCATATGTGTGTATTTGTTAGGACTCATTGAAATCTATTTGACATATAACATTATGTAAATTTAAGATGTACAACATGTTGATTTGATACATTTATATACTGTAATATGATTGCCACTCTAGTGATGGTTAACATCTCTCTCATTTCACCTAATTATCAAATTACTTTTTGTGCGGTGGGAATTAATATCTAGTCTCTTAGCAAATTTGATGATTATAATGCAATATTGTTGTCTATATTAACTATATTGTATATTAGATCTCCAGGACATATTCATCTATTAGTTGCAAGTCTGTACCCTGCAACATTTCTCCTATTCCCTCATCCTCCAGCTCCTAGCAACCATCATTTTACTCTTTTTATGAGTTTGGCTTTTTTAGATTCTACATATGAATGGTTATTATAAAGTATTTGTCTTTCTCTGTCTATCTCACTTAGTATAATGTCCTCAAAGTCTATCCATACTTTCACAAATGGTAGGATTTCCTTCTTTCTCATGGTTGAATAATATTATATTGTGTGTGTGTGTGTGTGTGTGTGTGTGTACACATCTTCTTTATCCATTCACCCACTGATGAACACTTAGGTTGTTTTCACAAAATTGCTATTTACAGAACATTATACCCAACAACTGCAGAATACACATGCTTTTCAAGTGCACATGGAATGTAAACCAATATTGTAGATTGGCTGGGCCAAGGACAAATCTCAATGCTTTACTAAGTGTTAAAATCATACAGAGTAAGTTGTGTAACAATAATAGTATTAACTTATAAATCAATAAGAATACAATGTCTAAAATCCTAAAATGTTTGGAATTTAAACAGCATACTTCTAAACAACAAAAGGATCGAAGAAGGAATCATAAAGAAAAACAAATATTTTGAGCCTGCTGAAAATGAAAACACATATATTAAAACTTGTAGACTGCAGCTAAAGCAACGATTAGAAGGAGATGCATTGCACTGAGTCTGCTTGGGAAAGAAAGGTTAAAATTAGTGATCTATGCTTTCACTTCAGAAGCCAGAAGCAGAAGCACAAGTTACACATAAATAATCACAATAAATAAGGGAGTAAAGTAGCGAAATAGAGAACAGATAATCAAGAAAAACAGTAACATCAAGGTTGGCCCCTGAAATTTTACTAAAATTTATAAACCCTTAGTAAGACTGGTTGGGAATAAAAACTAAAGAGAGACGCAGAATTTATGGGTGTATTGAATAAAATATAAAACATTGTTATAAATCCAATAGTTATTAAAAGAAATGTAAGGAAGTATTTTGAAGAGCTTTCCAACAATAAGTACACCCACTTGAATGAGAGACTATTTACCAAAAAAGTAACAGCAAGCATAACTGAAATAGAAAACTGCATAGAAATGAAAGACTGATTTTTTAAAAAGTCTTCCTACCAACAAAGTTCCAGACTCAGAGGGCTTCAATGGTGATTTTTATCAATGAAAATGGAAAAAGTTACACCAATTTCACACAAATTCTTTAATAAAACAGAAGAAGTCAGAACTCTTTTGAAGTCATTTTTGCTTGTCCCATTATTACCCTATACTAATGCCTGATAAAGACATTATAAGAAAAGTAAATCAGAAATGGATTGTGACCATACCCACAAAAATCCTTTACAAATTAGCAAATCAAATTGAACTTCTTATAAATGCCATTTATAAAACCCAGTGTATTTATCCCTGGATCCCAAAGTGATTCAGCAGATGAACAGTAGCAGAGGATACAGTAAACAAGATAATATAGAAATAATATATGATCATTGCAATACATGAAGAATAAACATCTGACATTTTTAATTAAAATTATAATTTAATAATTATAGTAATTTTAAACCTTATCAAATTAGGAACAGAATGGTATTTCCATCATCTGTTACAAGGTATCTATGAGAAACCCATGTCTAACATCAAACTTACTGTTAAATGTTGAATGTTTTTCCCTAAGACAGGACAGAGACAAATACATGCACCTTCACCACTTCTATTCCAGATTGTACTGGAAATCTTAGAGACAGTAATATAAGAAAAAGACATAAAAGGCTTAATTATACAGGAAGAAGTCAAACTCTCATTGTTGGAGGATGACGACTGTGTACATAGACAAGCCTGTGAAATCTACATATAAACAGTGTTATGAGTTGAATTATGTCCCTTAAAATTCATAGGTTGATGTCTTAACTGCAAGTACCTGAGAATGTGAACTGATTTGGAAATCGTGTCATAAGCAGACATAACTAGTTAATATGAGCTCGTACTGGAGTTAGGTAGGTCCCTAATCCTGGATGACCACTGTTCTTGTGAGAAAGGAAATTTGGACACACACATGCATTCAGAAAGAACACTGTGTGAAAACGGAGTTATACTGCCAACAAGCCAAGGATCTTCCAGAAACCAGGGGAAAGGCCAGATCTTTCCCTAATGCTTTCAGAGGGAGCCTGGCCTTGCCAACACCTTGATCTTGGACATGTAGCCTCCAGAATGGGAGACAATACATTTTTGTTGTTGAGGCCACTCAGTTGTGATGCTTTGTTATGGCAGTCACAGTGAATTAATACAAACACAGCTCCTGGGCTAGTAAGTAAATGCAGGTTATGGGAAACAAAGTCAACAAAAACGATTTATAATGTATTTCTATATGCTAACAACAAATAACTGGAAAATAAAATTTAAAATACCATTTACAATAACATCTGAAACAATTACCTGTAAATAAATTCAACAAAAGATGTAGAACTATGCCTGGAACTGACAAAACACTGGTAAGATAAATTAAGGACACCAACATAACTGGGGTCATATACCTTGTACAGATTTTGCTTAGAATAGACACAACATTGTTAAGATGTTCATTTTCCCTAAATAGACATATAAATTCAATGTCATCCCAATCAAAACTTCAGCAGCTTTTTGAAGAAATTGTCAGCCTGCTTCTAAAATTTACATAAAAATGCAAAGGATCTCAAATAGATATAACAATATTTTAAGAGAGCAACAAAGGTATAAAACCAACACTATTTTGTACCAAGATTTTCTATAAAGTTACAGTAATTGAGACAAGGTACAATGAATGAGAAGAGAGGAAAATATCCAGAAAAGAGATTCTAAAAATAGAACCATTACAACTCAAACAAACCAAAAAAAAAACAAAAACAAAAACAAACAAACAAACAAAAAACAACCCTACTCCACTGCTATATTCTTGGTTTAAATCAGTGATTCTCCAAAAACATGTTCCATAGAACATTACTCTGTAGGATGCAAATATATTCTAACAAGATTTTTTAAATCTATGAGCAAATTGCTTTGGGAGATTGGGATCAAATGTAAACTAACAACGTAGGTGTTCTTACTGCAGGGGTTCAGAAGGGTTTAATATGTAAATACGCAATTAAAATCTCTGAAGAATGTGCAGAGTTTCCCAAATTTATTTGGCTTTGGAAATGGCTTCTGTCCATATATTCTATGGGAGGGCATTTCAAGGAAAACACTTTGATGAACAATGGACTGAGTTGTTAAGTATACACAGATGGGAAAGAACCATCTCCGCAATAAATGGTGTAGGAAAAACTGGATATTCACACACACAAAAAATGAAATTAGACTCTCATCTTACACCATATACAAAAATTAACTAAAAACGTATTAAAGATTTAAATGTAAGACCTAAAACTGCCAAACTCCTAAAAGGCAGCTTAAGGAAAAGATCCTTGACATTGGCCTTGGCAACAAGCGTTTGGATATGACACCAAAAGTTTAGGCAACAAAAGCCAAAATAAGTAAATGGGACTAAATCAAACTAACAAGTTTCTGCACAGTAAAAGCAAGCATCAACATGAAAAGGCAAGTTAAGGACTGGGAGGAAATACTTTCAAACCATATATCTGATAAGAGGTTATCCAAAATATCTAAG